CTCTAACGAAAGTCACTTGTGGTTTTCCAGCCAAATATAAAGAAATTACACTATCACGCTTGAATTCCACCACGAATAACTTTTTTCTGGAATATTCTCACCAAAATGCTTTTGGTGCTCAATATAATGAGCTGTCACTGGAATAATTTTAACAGCTGTCGGACGAGTGACATGGAAATGACAGCAGTCTGAAGTTGGTTGCAGTTTTTTCATCCCACCGTGTGTTTCGCTTTCTTTGAGCGTCTATTTTTCAAAATCTTGAAACCTATACGGGGGAGGTACCAGAGGAAAGTGTCCGATCTCTACCATTATAACAGATTTTGTGTTGATGGAAATCTTGAGATGTACCAAGTCTGAATGGAATCGTATGTTAATTTCGCATTTTTTGAGCTTCATGGATATTAAAAATGTTGAGCCCATGTGGGGGAGGTACCAAAAGGAGTGGACAGATATATCGCCTCATCACAGCAGATTTTGTGTTAATAGAAATAATGGCATTAGTGAAATATAAAAAAACCGAGTGCTTATTTCGGATGTTATAATCGTTCTGGTTATTCAAAACTTTGACCGTTTCTGGGGGAGTTACCAGAAGGAATGGTCGGATCTCTACCATCTTTATAGCACATCTTGTGTTTATGGAAATATTGAGATATGCTAAATCTGAAAGGAATCGGATGTTAATTTCGTGTTTTATGAGCTTCATTGATATTCGAAATTTTGATTTTTTGTAGGGGGAGGTACCAGAAGGAATGGACCAGACCTTGGGTTAATATAAATATTGGGATGTGTGTAATTTGAAGACAATCGGACTCTTACATCACATTTTATAAGAGTCATAATTATTCAAAATGTTAACCTTTTGTGGGCGAGGAACTCGATGGAGTGGACCATTTTCTCACCTAACCTAGAATTGATGCAAATATTAGGAGTTGCAAAGTTGGAGCAAAATCGAATTATCCTTTCTCTTTCTGTGCAGTGAAATATATATATATATATTTTTTTTAATTTCGAAATTTTGGGGGGGGGGGTACATTGCCCATATCCGAACTCAATCTAAGTTTGATAATAATATTACGATGTACCAAGTTTGGACCAAATCGAATGTTCCCTTCGAGAGTTATCGTTCACACCAGCCAGAAGGACGGACATTGCTAGATCGACTCCAAATGTCCTGAAACGGATTTGGTCAAAGGGACCTAGGGTCTAAAACCATTTTGACCATATCAAATGATATATACCCTCTCTAGACATATTGCTGAGGGTATAAAAATTGGGAAATTTAAGATGTTTCAAATAATAACGCAAATAAACGATATTAAATCATTTACATCTTCAATAATTTGTAATGTATTCCACTAAACTATCCCACTGTTTACCCTCATGTTCCGCACGTATGCGTAGCACTAATCAGATGTGGATAGGATATACTTTTACAGGGAAATATTCAAATGTGTGTTGATGCAGTTCCTTTTGCAAACATATTCTTCCTATATGTAGTTTCATTTGTAAGATACCATAGTGTATGCTACATACACGTAAATATAGATATTTAGGAATGTTGATAAGAAACGGAATCAAATTTAAAAACTATCAATGTAATCATAGGAAATGTGCAACACCAGATGACAAAAAATACCGCAAAAGATATTTGCAGAAAAAAGTGGAATAATCATGGCAAGGATGTGTTAGTGGCAGAGAATCCAAGGACACCAATGTAAATAAAGGGACTAAAGAGTTACAGAAAAAATAACACATGTGCTTCGAACATCTTACTCTTAAACATACACATGCCTATATTGCCTGCAAAAAGAAAAGCTGCATGCTGCAAAATTTGAAGAATTTTTCGCCGGGGCTAAAATAACATGCATTACTTTTTCTCTTTGTAAAAATAGGTCCAGGCGCTGGAATCCTAGTCACAATTTAAGAAAGGCCACCATTTCGAATAAATATAAAAATGACAAAAAGTAAATGTGAACATCCATGATACAAGAACGAGAGGTAGAGCAAAGCTACCACCAAAGACGCACTTGGTGCCTCTTAAGGGCTATTTAATAAGGTCACCCGGGAGGCGAATTTAGGCTTTAAGGTGAGAGTACATAAAAGGTTTTTTTAAGTGGCGTAAGTCATCGGCTGGCTTCTTCGTAAAGGAACAAAGGGGTTTTAGGTTGACTTATTTCGATTTTGGACCTAAGTTCCATTGTTACTTTCCGAAGAAACCTGTTAAAAAAGCGTATTATATATTCTCACCTTTTGTCTCCTCTTGCTGTCAAACATTTTATGCGTTAAATCCATCGTAAACTAGTAAACAGAATTGAGTTCGGTCGGGTCGAACATTACACACCCTCCAACATTAGCTAAAACTAATTAAAAAGTTTAAGTCAGTTTTGTCGACAGATGTATACCCTCAGCCAATGCTCGATTATTTAAGTACAGGGTGAGATGAAAAAACTACAACCAACTTCAGACTGCTGTCATTTCAAAGACACTAGTCCGACAGCTCATTACATTGTTTACAAGCGTACAAAAGTATTTTAGTGAGAATTTTACAGAAAAAAGTTATTCGTGATGGAACTCAAGCGTGATAGTGTGATTTTTTATATTTGGCTGGAAAACAACAAGTGGCTATCGTTAGAGCAATCCAGCATTTAAATGTGAATAAATCTTTTGTGTCTCGTACCATCGCTCATTACCGTGATACTGGTAGCGTAGCCCGACGTCAAGGAAATGGACGGAAGAAAACAGCAACATCGGTAGAAATGGTTCGAAAAGTAAAGTGGCCGAAAAATGGCTCGTGAGCTGAACATATCGAAAAATTCCATTCGACAAATATTGAAAAATGAGCTCGGGGTAAAGCCATTGAAACTCCAAAAAGTGCAAGAACTTACACCGCAACAGAAAGAAAATAGACTCAAAAGATCTAAAGACTGTCAAATTTGGTTTTCTCCGATGAGAATTCATTCGTTGTCCAGCAGTTTGTAAACAAACAAAATGATCATATTTACTTGCCAAAGAGGTCAGCCTTCGGTTGGCCACCAGAACTCAAGAGACGACTATGATGATGGTGTGGGCCGCCGTCTCTCTCTTTCGTATTAATCGTCCGTGGCATCAGAATAAATGCCGAATATTACCGTGAAAATATTCTGGAGGGTGTATTAAAGCCTTGGGCACGCAAACATTATGTCCGCAGGTCTTGGACATTCCAACAGGAATGTACCATCGCACACAGCACGCGCCACCCAAGAATGGTTACTAAATTAGGTTCCTCTCTTCATTTCCAGCCCACAATGGGCCCCAAAATCTCCGCATACTCATCCGTTAGATTATTGTGTCTGGAGTATTTTGGAAAGCAAGGTTGGCACTAAAAAATACCAAAGTGTCGATCACCTCAAGCAAGCGCTTCGCCAGGAATGGGCCAAAATACCGCAGAGCAACATTCGGGCAGAGTGTGATGGTTTCATTGGCCGTTTGAAGGCCATAATTCGTGCCAAAGATACCCAATTCGAAAAAATCTAAACTTATTCTAAAATTTGATGCTATTTCCGACATTCTTTGCTTTCATTCAATAAGATTAAAGAAAAGTAAAAATTATGGCGTTTGACTTTGTTGCAGTTTTTTTTATCTCACCCTGTATTTAATTATACCGGTGAATTGGTTACCTTCTAGGCACAACCACAATATAACGGTATCTGGATGGTAGCTCACCCTATAGAGTCAATCTTGATCTCAATCGGAATTTCCCAAAAATGTCAGTTAACAGGTTTGGCAAAAGCTCCACATAGATGTTATTATTTTGCAGTAACTTGATTTCAAACAGCAAAAGCTTGAAAACGTTTCCTGGCGATTCGTTCGCAAACGAATGAAATGTTTGTGCTTTTGAACTGTTTGGAGTACAAAGCGATTGAAAAAAAAAAAACATGTAAAAAAGCAGTAAATTCGGCCGGGCCGAACTTTGAAAATCCTCCACCTTTGGAACAAATTTAGAAATCCTCAAAAAAAAAATACAAACTAAAATCCATTAAATACCGAATATGGGGTGTTACCTTTTTTTGGGATAAGTTATTCTGCATAAGCATTTTTTGTCTTAGGCCATTACAATATACAAATACGAAACATGAAACAGTTCCGCAAAAGCTTCAAAATACCGAATATAGGTAGGTACCGATATTTAGGGGACTTACGAGTCCTGGACGGACATAGAAAATTTTTGTCAATGACTGTAATAACTATTTAGAACTTCAAATACGAAATTTGAAACAATTCTGGTGAATAATACCGCTGAAATCATCAAAATACCGAATATAGTGAGGTAACCATATATGGGGGTCATACGAAGACTTGGACCATCATAGGTAATTTTCGGTCATAGACTATAGTACCTATTAGGAACTTCAATTACAAAATTTAAAACAATTCCGGTTAATAATGTCGCTGAAATCATCACATTTCCGAATATGGGGAGGTACCGTTATATGGAGGCTATGCGAAAACCTGGACTTGCTCAGACTATTTTCTGACACAGACTGTAGTACCCATTACGAACTAAAATTACGATTTCGGTGAACAATGTTGCTAAAATCATCAAAATACCGAAAATAGATAGGTACAGTTATATGGGGGCTATAACTAAACGTGGACCTATATAGTCTATTTTCAATACCAAAAGTCCTGCAGACGAAACTCACATCTGAGTAAAATTTTCTCAACCTACTTCAGTTCGTTCGGAAGCTAGAGTGATTGCCATAGACGGACGGACGGTATATTTCGAGATATTACAAACGGAATGACAAACTTAATATAACCTCTATACAATGTTGAAGGGTATAAAAATAAAAAAATTGGTGATTTCGTGTGAGCAGTACGTTATTCGTTTGGTTTGTTTTCGTACGCTGATATTAACAAACATAAATTTTTCACTAGATGGCAACATCGAAATAGTTGCAAAAAAAGCTTTTTATTGAGAGAGCTAAAAAGGCTTTATTGAGAGATTTAAAAACCTCAAAATAACAAAAAAATTGTTCTAACTATTTCAGTCAGTATCAACAGTTGTCAGTATCTTCTCTACTTTAGAATCTTGTATTAAATTGAAATCATTCGGCAGAAACTTTGCTTCTAGTGAGATTTAATAAAATTTGAAGACAAAGGTGTTTGAGTTGATAGAAAACATTTTTTAAATACTATAAAAACTATTTAATTGTTTTAGCTTATCAAAAATTCCATTAAGATGAGTGCCCCAAAAGTGCCCTACGTGACCCATAATAATGGCAGCAAAATGCAAGCAATTGGATTGGGAACCTACACCGTAAGTAACAACTCGATGTAGGCACATCTGTACAAACTTAGGAAATCCAAACGACAAATCTTAGCATATATTAAGTGTAAGGTGCGCCGTTTGAAATGTACATTAGAATATATGGTTTGCGATTATCAACAAAGTTTACGATCGATTATCACTTGGCATTTTTACCAGCCCTAAGCCAAAAACAAATACAAGTGGCTAACTACAATTCCATAAACTACTCAATTAATGTGTGACATAGGAGGTATTCAACGATTATTTTGCATATTTATAATATACGCGATTTTTATCAGGAGTGTTTCTTGAGGGCTTGGTTCTTATCACGTAAAATATAATTCTTTCGTTTAATTGAAGATGTATGAATGTGAAGGTGTTTATGCACAAAATATCATCTGCTACGGGCATGATCATCTTTAATCCCAATAAATGTATTAGAGCCAAACTATCATCAAATTTTGTTCATACATACATATGTTTCTTTGCTTATTTAAAATACAATTACAACAGTGTCAACAATTCTGGATTATCAGACATGTTCTTAAAGTTGTGCTGTTATGTTTTAAAATCTTTTTGTTTCGTAAAAAACTTAAGTAGCAAGATCGAAATTGTGTTCAGGGGGTGCTAAAACAAAAATCACTGAAGATTTGATAAACACCTCTACAGGATGATATGACTGAAGATTTGATAAACTTGTTTGAGCCAAACATCTCTATGGGTGAGATTTGTTCGAATTGGTCACCATTCCCGGCGAAGCGCTTGCTTCGACACTTTGATGTTTTTTAGTGTCAACCTTGCTTTCCAAAATATTCCAGACACAATAGTCCAACGGATTGGTATCCGGAAATTTTGGTGGCCATTGCGCCGGAAATGAAGCGAGGAACCTCATTTTGTAACCATTATTGGTTGCCGCGTGCTGAGTGCGATGGTGCTGAGTCCTGTTGGAATGTCCAAGGTCTGCGGCCAAAATGTTTTCGTGCCCAAGGCTTTAATATACCCTCCAGAATATTTTCGCGATAATATTCGGCATCTGATGCCACGGTCGATTAATACGAGCAGAGCGACCATCGGCTGTTATGGCGGCCCACATCATCACCATGGCCGGTGGCCAACCGAAGGTGCACACGAGAAATTTTTCGGCTGTTGCGTCGCTGGTTTCGATCAAGTCGCTTCTTTACTTTTCGAACCATTCCTGCTGATGTTGCTGTTTCATTCCGTCCACTTCTTTGACGTCGGGCTCCGCTACGAGTATCACAGTAACGAGCGATGGTGCGAGACACAAAAGATTTATTCACACTTAAATGCTGCAGGGTCGTAACGATAGCCACTTGTGGTTTACAAGCCAAATATAAAGAAATCACTACTGCAGACTGCTACTCGTCCGACAGCTGTTATAATTATTCCAGTGACAGTTTATTATATTGTTTACAAGCGTACAAAGCATTTAGGTGAGAATTTTCCAGAATTCCATAACGAATAACTTTTTCTGGAAAATTCTCACCTAAATGCTTTGTACGCTTGTAAACAATATAATAAACTGTCACTGGAATAATTATAACAGCTGTCGGACGAGTAGCAGTCTGCAGTAGGTAGCAGTTTTTCATCTCACCCTGTATATATGCGATCTATGGCTATATCTTGGTCGTATTTCACAGAATTTGATACAATTTCTTCCAGGCTGAATCTGTTCGTAAGTGCCAAATTTCATTCAAATAAAGCTTGTATCAACCATTTGCTTACAACAAACTTGAAATTGTGTAAAGATATCCGATTTTAAACGATTATCACCAATCGGCCTTGGGCCGTGCAAATGATTTGTGCAAAATTTAATTTCGATCGGGCAATAAAGTATAAAAAGGCAAAGCTTGTATACATGGCGCAAGAAGCAAAGTTTTGCTGCGATGTGCAAGGAACCTATCGTTCCATTTATTTTTGCATTTTGTAATAATGTATTTGAATAAAATACATAAAATCTACGTATAGGAGAATATAATATAAATATTTTCACATTCCTTGTCACATTTATCCTAAAAAAGCAATTTGTAACAAGAATCACTTCTGCCGAATATTCAATGTAGTTTAGGCCATCCAAGACGAATTTTTAACTTTCAATTATTAAAATATCGTTTTTTCTATTTTCAACCACAACCGGATACTCTTATCCCTTTAAGTCATTGGGTGGTGATTGTGAACGTGCAGTACGGGATGCAATTGATGTCGGATATAGACATATCGATACCGCATATTTCTATGAAAATGAACATGAGGTTGGTAAAGCTGTAAGGGACAAAATTGCCGAGGGTGTCATAAAACGTGAGGATATTTTCATAACGTCCAAGGTAATTGCAAATGATGTCTCCAGTGGTACAGGCAAATTTCAATTGATTACTGTCTCCATCATTTACAGCTTTGGTGTCATTTCCATGAGCCTGACCGTGTAGAGTATGCGTGTCGCAAATCGTTGGCTAACTTTGGTTTGGATTATATAGATTTGTATTTAATGCATTGGCCCTATTCCTATGTGCATCGAGGCGATAATGTCATGATGCCAACGAATGCCAAGGGAGAGGTTGAATTGAGGTATGTGATCTAAAAATTGTTTTTTTTTTTTTTTTTTTTTGTTTTAATGGATGTCAATATAATATAAACTAATACATTTTTTCTTCCCTCCGTGTTATAAAATTAATTGTTTAAGTTATCTTTTCTATTTTCAAGTGATGTCGATTACCTAGATACCTGGAAGGCTATGGAGAAACTACAAGAAAAAGGTTTGGTCAAGAATATTGGTGTATCGAATTTTAATTCTGAACAATTAGCTCGCCTATTGTCAAATTGTAAAATCAAACCAATTCACAATCAAATTGAATGCCATCCTGGATTAAATCAAAAACCTTTGCTGGCTTTGTGTAAGAAACACGATATTGTTGTAACGGCTTATTGTCCTCTTGGAAGACCAGAACCAGCCAAGAAAATACCCGTATATTTATTCGACGACAAGGTTAAGGCAATTGGAGAGAAATATAACAAAAGTCCCGCCCAGGTGGTATTAAGATATTTGGTATGTTTTTCTATTTTCAATAGTCATTACGATGGAACTAATTGTGTATTTGTTTTTGTAGATTGAACTTGGTGCTGTACCCATACCAAAGTCGGTGAATAAAAATCGTATGATAGAAAATTTTAGTGTCTTCGATTTTAAACTTTCTCCAGAAGATCATAAGATAATGGATTCATATAATACCGGTGACCGTTTGATCCCCATGGAGCATGCTAAGAAAAGTATCCATTATCCATTCAATATTGAATATTGAAAAATTTCCAAAAATTATTTTATGTAAAATACTATACCAATTTTACATAAATAATAAAAAAAAGCTTTAGATATCTTTAGAAAGTAAATAAAAGACATAATATTATATCAGCTATATATATATTTTTTTAATAATTTGTACAAATTGCTGAGTTATAGCACGCACCTACTAAAAATGTTATGTCCTCGATTTTAAACATTCTTCAAAAGATCATAAGATAATGGATTCACCGTTTTATACCCATGGAGCATGCCATGGTAGAAATACCAGGTAGCAACATAGGCGAAAATTACAACAAAGCAACTTTTTTTGGAAACTTGATATGTCAAAGTTGTAGTCAGGGCGAATTGATTTGAAGTACAAAATTTGGGGCAAATTATTTTTCCAATCAAAATATTGAATTAAATATTTTCAAAATTGTTGTTTTTTCTATTACAAAAGCAAATATTCAAAACTTCCAACATCGATTGAAAGTAATGCTGAAGCCGCTGCATCTTGGTTTGATTATAGCACGTTCAATACAACATTTTTAAAAATCACAGAGACTGGAAATGGAGTGATTGTAGTCTCCAGCGCGCCAACGAAGGACATTTGCGATAATAGATGTCAATCGTTGTTATCTCTTCATCATCCTTACACAGCATGCAGTCTTGGTAACGTTGGCAACGTTGATTTCATATTCAACAGCGATAATGTTATTTATAAGAAAATATCCGGAAAATTATTTTTGATGCTTTAAAATTAGGTTTTGTGGTGGTTCTGGGGTGTACCCTTTTTTCTTTTGCTACATCGTCAGCTTTCTCGATGTAGTGACATGCTACCTAAAAGGTACTTTAGGGTATATTTACTCCTCAGGCTTACTTAAGATTTGGATCAAAGATTGCAGAAGATACAGGGGGCTGAGTCTACTGTGAGTCCAGGCATATTATTTGCTCAGCTATGAAATGTATAGCAGACAGGAAGTCTTTTAAGCATAGATAACATTAATACATTCGAACAATTTGAAATAAAAAAATTATCTCAATATTTAATCACACCCCAAAAATTGCCAATATTTTGTTCCCCAAACCAATCCAATATGCTTTGGAATCATTCACCTTTCACTGTTGAAGCCCTATAGTGTATAACATAGTTGAAAATCCATACAAATAAGATGATGAAATTCCATGTATCGGTTTATTTCCTATATGAAATTGATTCCCTGTTTCACTTATTTCAAATATCCACTAATTTTAGATCTCCATATTACCTATACCTACCATATGTTGAATACACTCTATAAAAACGTAAAATCTCGATTTTCTATCAATAGCATTGTTAAAGTTTGAAATCATGCAACAATTTTCTTATGTGTACATGAAGGCGAATTCAAATTACAACAATTTTTTGACATATCAAATTGATACCAGCTGGCCTGAAAGGGTTACCTTGTAATTCTACCATGGAGCATGCTAAGAAAAGTATACATTATCCATTCAATATTGAAAAATGTCTAAAACTATTATATGTAAAAAACTATACCAATTTAACATAAATATTAAAAAAGCTTATAATGTACTTTAAAAACTAAATAAAAACCATGAATTATCTCAGCTGATTTTTTTATTAATTTTTACAAATTACTGGGTTATATACTACATACTGGTTCAATAATCAATTGTTACTATGTTAGTAATATCCAGGTGGATACATCAGCATTATGTCAAAAATATTAAATAAGTAATTTAAATATTTTCTTTTTTCAAAATTTTAAATTTCAAAATTGTGTTATTAGTTTATTGAATCACTAGCTGTGTTGATGCGACTACCTCTATTATATAATGATAAATTACTTCAAATGCAGAGCGGAAAGAGGAATGCTTATTTGAAATATTACCTACATAAATCAATGTTTGTTTTTGTGCAACAATGGTCAAGTTATCTCTTTCTTTAGAAAACGGTTTAGAGAGGATAGACGGCCTCTCTAGCCGTCTATATATATCTTTGGTACGGCCAAAAAGTGCCTCATCGAAATAACGGTTTTACGCCCCAGGTATCTTTGGACCAAATTCGTTTCAGGACATTTCGAGTCGATCTAGCGATGTCCGTCCGTCTGCCTGCTGGAGTATCCGATTCGGTCCAAACTTGGTACATCGTAATATTATTATCAAACTTAGATCGAGTTCGGAGATGGTCGAAATTTTCAAAAAAGCATGTTACTGCACAGAAAGTGAAAGGTTAATCCGATTATGCTCCATCTTTGCACACACATTTTAAAATTTTCTAAAAATTATCACATATCTCATATAAAGTGGAGGAAGTAACCAATATTGTCCAAACCTGGCACGTCGCAATATTTAATATTGCAATATTGGCCTATTCCTTTGGAACCTACTCCATGGAGGGTGAACAATTTGAATAATCATAACAGAAGGCAAAATATATTTAAATGATCGAATATTGGCTGAGGGTATACATCACTCGGCAAAACCAACTGATACGTTTTAACTTGTTATTATTATTTTTTTTTATTAATTAATTAATTAATTAATTATTATTATTATTTTTTTTTTTTTTTTGAAATTTACTACTAAACATCTACTGAAAAATAATAAAATTTTTCTGAACAAATGAGGTTGTCTGGGTTCAAAGATCCATACTCTGGATCCAAAAAATATAATAACATATATTGTGGCATTTTGGAAAGGTTATAGTGTCGACTATAGTTTGGCATATATTTCGTTGACTTTTAATTTTTTCGACTTTTAATTTTGATACCACTCCCAAACCGTCTTTAATAGGTATTTTCGTTAGCTTTCCATATCGGTTTAGGAGTTCCGAATCTTACCCTTGCATTGGACCCGGACCTCTAGGTTAAATATCCGGGTATCTGGGTTCGTCCCAAAAAAATACTTTCCCAGAACCAGCCTACAAATACCTACCTCTAATTTTTATTAAATTTTAAGATGTTCCAACATTTTTTGATAACCCCAATTCTTAATTTCTTGCACATATATATATTTTAACAAATTGTTGATGCATCTACCTGTTCAATGCACTTTGTTTACGCAATTGTAAATAGAAAACAGCTGTTTAAAACAGAGTAGTTCCAATTTTAATTTGGACAATAAAACAAAGGGCTTGCGGCATGATTCAAAAGTTTGGAAGGATTAATCTACCCTTTATCAGATTGGGTTCTCCCAGCAACTACCATCCGACGAAACTATTTGAAAATTCTGGATATAAACAATTTAATTTGTTAAATAATAAACTAATTTTATGCTTAGAAGACATTTTTCTTAAAAATGCAATAACAACAAGACAATACAGCACCCCAACACACACAAAGAATAGTGGTAAGTGTTCAGCTCTCGCTCTCAGTAGAACTAATCAAATGCCAAATAAAGCTAGCAAAGCTTTTTGCAAACGAAATCTGTTGAATGTTCTTTAGTTATTTGTTGTCATTTATTTGAGTAGTCATTTGTGCACGGGCGATATTTGCAGAACTTCCTGAAACTTCTACAAAACCAACTGGAAATAGTTATCATCCTCTTTACGGCTGCTACACAATTAAAAGAACATTTTCTGATAACTGCAATAAGATGGCACCAACTTTGGCTCCTAAAGTAAAATTGAACAATGGTTACGAAATGCCTGTTCTTGGGTTGGGAACATATGAGGTGAGTTGCCTTTTCCAAAAGCATACAAATGTATGCATATACGCTTATAATAAAATGTATGTATGTCTATATATGAAAGAATATTTCATAAATCCAAATTATATATTCAACGTTGTAATGTCTTTATATCTTATCTTGACAAGATATTAGTGATGTGCCAGATTGAAATTTACTATATAATTATTCCTCCGAAATTAATCAATTATCAAACCGGCATTTTTTTTATCAAATCTGCAAGGCTGCCATATTGTCATTTTCATACAAGACTTGTAGAATCGGCCGGTGGGTACTTAAACCAAAAGTAAACATTTTGACCAATATAAAGTGTCAAATTGCTATAACTTACTATATAATGACAATCTCTATGGAGATAAATAAAAACCAATTTAATTCTTTATTCTGTTAATTCTAAATGGCCGGATAAACAGAAAGAAAGGAGCAATGCCTAATCTAAGGTTTTTCCATTGCAAAGATTTAGGTATACTACAATTTTTGTAAAAAAAATTAAACCAAAATGAGACGAATAACATATCATTGTGAAGATAAGCATCCACTGGTTTAATACGATGGTAATTAAGATTAACAGACTGATGTCTATGTTTTTATGCCCTACAACACTATGTGTTGGGGGTATTATCGAAATAATAGTTTCCGACATAGGAAACTATATATAGATATTTCTATCTCGCCGAGCTGAATCTCGATCTAGCTATGTATGTCCGTCCGTCTGTCCATGTTAATTTGTAATCACCCTATAGGTCGCAATTGTGGTCCGATCCTCACGAAATTGAAAATGGAGGTGGGATTAGAGTCAGAATATAATTCTATGGTTTTTGGAGATGAACGCACAATATTTAGGGGTGAAATGGAAAATTTTTATGATTTTGCAGTTGCTCTACAGACCTAAATTATGAACCAATCGACGCGGAAATTTACATAGAGTTAGAGTTCAGGGCTGAGCAGTTGCTAACCAATTTTGTGGTAATCGGACTATTTAGTGGGTAAAATAAACCATAACTTTTATGTCAAATAATACGAAAATTTCCACTAAACCGCGAATATTTTTGATCCCGGCCAGATCACAAATACAGTAAAAGGTCACTTCTGATCATTACAGTGATGCTAATAGATAAGATATCGGATATATAGCAAAATAGGTACAATATATTATATCAAAATATTGTGTTTGAAGATGTACATTTAGGGAAATGGACCAAAAAAATTTCCTGATTTTGCAGTCGCTATACAGGTGAAAATTACCGACCGATCGACATGGAATTTTGAATGAGAAGAAAGTTAAGTACTGGGAAGAAGTCTAGCATTTTGGATGGCCATTGGATTATATTTAACTGTAAAATGGACCACATCTAACGCGTGAAATTGTTTTGGATACCAAATAATATGACGGAGTGCGTAAATATTCTGGAAATACTCCAGGTCATAAAGCTAAGGGTAGGGCTCTGACATCATATCAAAAAAGAAATCTTCCAAAATAGATTTGGACATAAGGTGCATTTCAGCATATTGTAGTGTTGTAGGGTATGGTTGTGCGGGGCCGACCATGTCCCTTTGCTTACTTCTTTAATACTTCTAATTGGTAGCTGATTAGTGAGAACCGTAAAGGTGTAAGTACATAAGGAGTTTGAAGTCATGGCTAGGCATATTTTGTGAGGGTTCACAAAGGGATTACAGAGCCGCACTAAAATCCTGTCGTCGTTTTCCATTATAATTTGACATTAATATGCCTAGCCATGACTTCAAGCTTTTTATGTACTTGCACCCTAATATAAATAGTAAACCACCTTTCTTTATAATAAAAGCTAAAGAAGTCTAAATGTAAGGCCGCTGTGCGCGAAGCCCTAAATATCGGTTATCGTCACATTGATACAGCCTATTTATATCGTAATGAAGGCATTATCGGCCGAGTTCTAAAAGAAGAAATCGAACAAAATCGTGTTAGACGACATGAAATATTTTTGGTAACAAAATTATGGAATATTTACCATGAACCGTGTAAAGTAAAATACGCCTGTCGGAAACAAATGGACGCATTGAATGTGGATTACATCGATTTGTACCTAATGCATTCCCCCATTGGTTATAAGTATGTGGACGATGAAGCGTTAATGCCTCACGAGGACAGTAAATTGCAAACAAAGTAGGTTTAAAAACATTAAAATATTTTGAAGAATGTATAATACTGCTCTTTTATCATTTTAAGTGACATTGATTATATCGATACATATAAGGCCATGGAGGAACTAGTTGAGCTTGGTTGGGTACGTAGTTTAGGATTATCAAATTTTAATATACCACAAATGCAAAGAATATTGGATAATTGTACAATAAAACCAGTAACCAATCAAGTGGAATGTCATCCTGCACTAAATCAATCGAAACTAAGAGAATTTTGTTTAAAACATAATATACTTGTAACTGCCTATTCACCTTTAGCTAGACCAAAACTTGTAAGACCATTGCCTGCCTTTTACCAGTCCCAAGAATTGCAACAAATTGCCGAGAAATATCAAAAATCCAAAGCACAAATTGTCCTAAGATATTTGGTGAGATTGTCTGGTTGATTTGCAATAACATGTTTCATTTATAATCGTTTATTCTTATAGATTGACATAGGCACAGTGCCCATACCAAAATCAGCAAGACCTGAACGCTTACTGGAAAATATAAACGTTTTCGATTTTCAACTGGACAAAGATGAAATTAATATAATCAATGATTTCAATACAAATCTGCGTTTGTGGCGCAATGAAATGGCTAGTTTCCACAGTTATTGGCCATTTTCCGAAGACTGACTGAATTTAATTAGAATATGAATTTATTAAAATTTTCTAAGAATTAAAACCTTTGAAATTAAAAAATGTATTTTTTTTTTCTGAAATGCTGGTATGGTTTATGGTAACGGTTATTGCACTTTGCTGGGGCGTCAAACCATAGCACGGAAGGTTAGAATGGTGCCTCATGATGACTCTGATATATTTAAATATTTTAATTTAACGTATTGTACTTATTCCTTAAATGTTCTTTGCATTCTATCTGCAGTCCAAAAACAATGAAGGAGAAATTGCTGTCAAGCATGCCATAGACGTTGGATATCGCCATATTGATACGGCATATTTTTACCAAAATGAAGCTGAAATTGGGAAAGCTATTAAAGATAAAATTGCCGAGGGGGTTGTGAAAAGAGAAGATATCTTTCTGGTGACTAAAGTAAGTTTGCTTTAACATAAAAAATGTTTAATTAAACTAAACGGATTACGTTGCAGTTGTGGAACATTCACCACGAACCAGACCGTGTTGAAGGCGCTTGCCGTAAACAACTCGAATTACTTGGCTTGGACTATATTGATTTATATCTCATGCATTTGCCCGTGGGTTATAAATATGTCAACGAAGAAACTCTCTTGCCAAAGAACGATGATGGTGTCTTGCAACTATCGTAAGTTACATGAATAGCAAAAAAGCATATTATTTTGTTAATTTGTTGGTTTTTTAGGGATGTTGACTATTTGGACACATATAAAGCAATGGAAAAACTGGTAAAACTGGGATTGGTGCGCAGCATTGGTGTATCAAATTTTAATAGTGAACAGTTACAAAGGATTTTGGACAACTGTGAAATTAAACCCGTAACCAACCAAGTGGAATGTTCGCCAGCCTTGAATCAACGTAAATTAACACAATTCTGTAAGGAGCGTAATATTACCCTAACAGCATATTCACCACTTGGCCGGCCCAAACCTGATGAAAAGAAGCCTGAATTTTATTACTCGGAAAAAACCAAGGCTTTAGCTGACAAATATAAGAAAACACCAGCTCAAATTATTCTACGTTATTTGGTATGTTCTTTACATATACCGATCATCATCAATCTTTTACCACAATTCATGCACTTCTACTGTTACAGGTTGATATTGGAGTTATACCAATACCAAAGTCCTCCAATCCCAAACGCATCGAGGAGAATTTCAACATTTTCGATTTTCAATTATCTCCAGAGGATATTGCTGTAATGGATACATTTCACACTGGTGAACGTTTAGTGCCTTTCAACTTGATCAAAGGGCAAAACCACAAATACTGGCCATTCAGTATTGAATTTTAATACTTGCATAACTACTAATCTTCTTGAATCCATAGGAAGTATGTGTTAATATGTAAAATATAATAAAATGCCTGCAAATTACTCTTGTATTGTAATTTTGCCATTATTAGCATTTAGGCTTAACATTAGTAAAAACTCGTATATTTTTTTTTTTTTTAATTATTTCCAGTGGTAGGGATTTTTAACCTGATTTTTTTGGGGAACGGACACGGGACCCCGGATTCGCTTACCCGATATAGACAATATTGGTTATCGTTTGAATGCTTATGAAAATACCTATCCAAAAGTGGTCACATGATGCAAGTGGAAAGACATATGTCTCTGAACCCAGAAAAGGTATTAGCACAAATTATATAATTTTGGAAAGGTAAGAGTGTCAGCAATAATTTGACATGTATCTTGTTGTTTTTATAAAAAAATCCGGGTTCAAAAAATCAATAATTTGACTATAACCATCATGTGACCACTTCCCATCGTGTGACCAAATCTGGGGTCCGTCCTCCAAGAAAAGAATTGTTTCCCGGGATCAGGATCAAAGAGTTAGTACATTTTCGGATTCTAATCTTGGCTTGGCACTAACCTTTTGGTATGGAAATCTCACGAATGCTTTGGATTGTCAGCTTTGACAACAAACAGTAGGTGTGCTTGGCTACTTTTCCCGGAGGAATTGTCCAGAAACTTCCTTCAAAGAGAGAGAGAGATTAAAGTAGTTTTATTCTCCTTCGCAAGAAAACTGTATAAAGTAAACATACGGCATCCCTGCACTAACTTGTAAGCAATCAGTTGATTTGCCAAAACAAACGAATTTTAGCGCTATAAATAGACCTTAAGGTACTTCACACCTTAAGGTGAGAGTACATAAAATGCTTTTTTGACTGCTTAACTCATCGACTGGCTTCTTCACCCTTAGGCTGGAAATACATAAAAAGCATATTTGGCTGGCTTTAGTCATTGCATGGTAGAAGAATATAGGTAGATGCATCAACGCTTGGGAACATTGATATGTCAAAATTTTTAAAATGTTTTATTAAAAATGAGTATCTTTTTAAATGTTTTCTTATACGACGCAAACCAGTGGTTGTTATAGTATGAAATTTTCAAAAAAGTTTACAAATTTCAATTATTTTTCATTAAACATTTTCAATTCCAAAATCGGTTTGACGGTTCATTGTCCCAGCAGCTGTGTCGATGCGACTACCTGTATTCTTCTACCATGAGTCATTGGCTGGCTTCTTCGTAGATGAACAAAAGAGTTTTAGGTTGACTTAGTTCGATTTTGGCCCTAGGCTCCTTTCCTCATTTCCGAAGAAGCCAGCCGATGACTTAAGCCTGCCAAATAAGCGCTTTATGTATTTCCACCCTTAGAGTTCCAAAGTACCATATGTCGATGCGGCTACTTATATTGTTGTATCGTAGATTGCGCCGTTTATCCAAACTGCCTGAAACTGTTGTCGTTATTTCTGTTCTTAGTTCTGTCATAATTTTTTCAGGAGGAATTGCACTATTACAAGTAATCTAAAAAGGATTGATTTCGAAATATAAACAACTCTTTTGTAATGACAATGTTTTGACCATGTTTAAATAATACAGGTCGCATCATTTGTTCTTCTAAGAAGAAGCCAGCCGATAACTTAAGCTAGTCAAAAAACTTTAAAGCAGTTTTGGAATTGAAAACTTTAAATTAACATTTTTTCACTGTTGTTAAATTTGTCGAAAAATACATATCATAACAACCTCTGAATGACATCCTGTAAGAAAACATATAAAAAACAAGTAAGCAAAGGCTACAGTCGAGCGGGCCCGACCGTTGAATACCCTACAACACTACAATAAACGATACAGTTTATATAGGCGAGATACTCGAAAGGATTCGTTCTCTAATTTTCGAATAATAGCAACTTAAATTAATTTGCTCATTTCCAATTTATTGGTAGATGTTGCACTTAAATGGTCTTCCTAGATCTATAACCAATATTTCCCAAAGACCTATAATCTCTCAGAAGTGGCAAAAGATTGACATTTATTATTGGTTTTTGACTGAAACGCATCTATATGAGATACAGACATTTGACTACATTCAACGAAATCAGCGTTAACGAAGTAGTCAGAAGTGCGTCTTTCCTGTATTTGTGAATTCTCCAAAAAGTCACTGGAATGGACATTTTCGTATTTAGTCTACAAAAGTTGGCAAACTATTTCTCACATTGAATATTTTTGGATGGCCATCCGAAACTTCTTGGCTTTTGTCCGGTAACCCCCATTCAAATGTGCGTGACGATCGGGCGATAATTACGACCTGCTGACAATTTTGCAGTTTTTTGGTCCATTTCAACCCCTAAATATACAGCGATCATCTCCAAAAAGAGTAGGCTTCTATTCTGACCCTCATCTTATTCCCATGCAAAATTTTGTAAGGATCGGGCCATAAATGCGATCTGTATATGATATCCTGATATCCTAACTACTTAGTTTTGTTAGTTGTAAAAATATTACCAAATGTTCAATTCAAAATGAAAATATGCCAAAAATATGACAAAATTGAAAAAATATGAGAAAATGTTACAAAATCAATATTTTCATCTTTAGAGAGATAGTTTTATGCGATTTTTTAGACGTTCTATGTTTCCTGCCAAGAGGCCATTCTGAATTAATGAGAACTGTCGAAATCAGTTCAGCCATTCTCGACATATAAGAGATCTTTCAAGCATATCTTCTTTGATAGACATATATATCGCACATATTTTGCTATATATCCGATTTGTTGGATGTTAACATCAATGTAAAGGTCAGAAGTAACCTTGTCATGGCTTCGTGATTTCGCCGGGATTTAAAATATTCGCGATTTAATGAAAAATGTTGAATTTTTTTAACACAAAAGATATGGTCTATTTTACCCGCTAAATATTATCCGATGACCATCCAAATTGGTAGGCTTCTTCCCCGCCCTAAACTCCGCGTCGATTGGTCTATAATTGCGACCTGTATAGCTATTGCAAAATCCAACATTTTTTCAGTATTTGGTCCATTTCAACCCCTAAACATTTGGCGATCATCTCCAAAAGAAATAGGGTTCTATTCTGACCTTAACCCCACCTACATTTAAATTTCGTGAAGATCGGGACATAATTGCGACCTGTAGAGTGATTACAAATTAACATGGACAGACGGACAGACGGACGGACGGACATACATAGCTAGATCGACTCAGCTCGGCGAGCTAGGAAGATCCATATATAGCTATTGCAAAATCCAACATTTTTTCAGTATTTGGTCCATTTCAACCCCTAAACATTTGGCGATCATCTCCAAAAGAAATAGGGTTCTATTCTGACCTTAACCCCACCTACATTTAAATTTCGTGAAGATCGGGACATAATTGCGACCTGTAGAGTGATTACAAATTAACATGGACAGACGGACAGACGGACGGACGGACATACGTAGCTAGATCGACTCAGCTCGGCGAGCTAGGAAGATCCATATATACTTTCCTATATGGGAAACCAATATTTCGAGGTGTTACATAAATTCTGGCCCAATCAAACTTATAATACCCCCAACACATAGTGTTGTAGGGTATAACAACTTAGTTTTGAGCAACTTTTAAAATATTTGACATATCCGACTTGCGCCGACCCGATTTGCGTCGTTTCGAGTTGCGTCGCTTTTCAAAAACCAGAAAATTCGACTTGCGTCGTTGCAATTTCAAGTTGCGTCGGTCCGACATACATTGTGGATTACTATTTTTTTTGAATTTGCAGAACCTGCTTTAGCATCTTGTCTGTCGTTTAACATTTTTACAACTTCTAGCAACACTGATCGTCACCTATACGTTAACAACTATTCAAATCAACAAACAAAAATTTTGAAAAAAAAAAAAAAAAGGAATTATTTTACTATGAATTACAAATCGTGACGTATGAACGGGTTATTCGTTTACCTAATTCTGAGAGCGAACAACGTGATTGAAAGTGCAATGAGAACCTAGCACAACATTTACGTATACTCTACGTTCCAGTAACGCAGAATTCAGGTAAAAAACGTTGGCATCCCTACATACTGCAAAAAATTGACAGCTGCTTTTCTCCCACCAATACGCTGACATTTGTTGTCTGCCGGCTTGCATCAGATCAATATCGTAGGTTTTCCCGCGCACATTTTCAGGTAGAAAAAGGAATAAACGACTCCTGGAAGGGATAACTGTGGTAGGCAAAAGAAAATAATTTAAGAAATTCTCAAAAAGTCAGTAAAACTTTGGGAAATTATTTCTACAAACAGTAACGGAGGCAGCACCACAGCAAGCACACGTTTGACGAGTACGAGCAGCCGAAAATATTGACAAACCAGTCTCCGCGTGAAAAGATAAAATACATTCGTGTACTAAAACGAAACGAACAATTTTAAATTTATAAAAAATTATATTGTGAGTATGTTTGTCGAAATAATTTGCTTTATTTACAAATTTATTACTTTTGGCAGATATAATTATATTAGTACAGCTGCAATATGCCACGCGTTGCAATCAGGAGAAAAGCCGAATCCGAAGCCACCACAGATGTAGATAACAATAACAAAGGAGATGTCACAGATTCCGCGGGTCCCAAAGGCAAGAGAATGCGTACCGCATTTGCACTATCGTTGCCTGAAAGACCGCGTGTTGTAGGTCGTGCTTTGGTTTGCGGCCAAGGTGACATGGGACAACTGGGCTTGGGCGATGATGATTCAAAATTTGAGCGTAAACGTCCAGCATTACTTGAGAAAATAGCCAATGTGGTGGATGTTAAAGCTGGTGGCATGCATAATTTGGTATTAACACATGACGGACGTGTTTTTTCATTTGGCTGCAATGATGAAGGCGCCCTCGGCCGCGACAGCAGTGAAGAGGGCTCCGAGTTTGAACCTCGTCCCGTGGATTTACCCGGTAAAGTGCTAAAAATATCGGCGGGTGATTCACATTCGGCCTGCTTGCTTGAAGATGGCCGTGTATTTGCCTGGGGATCATTTCGTGATTCTCATGGGAATATGGGCTTGACCTTGGAAGGCAACAAAAGAATGCCCATAAACGTTTTGCCAGATATGACTTGTTGTGACATAGCATCAGGAGCTGATCATTTGGTTATATTGACATGTCAAGGCAAGGTTTATACTGTTGGATGTGCTGAACAAGGTCAGTTGGGCAGAGTATCGCTCCGATCGGCATCAGGTGAGGGCAGAAGAGGAAAAACTGAACTGCTTAAACCAGGATTGGTTGTAATTAAGAACAAAAACAAACCCATTGAAGCTATCTGGGCCACCAATTACTGTACATTTTTACGCGAATCGCAAAGTGGAATCATATGGGCTTTTGGATTAAACAATTACAAGCAACTACTGGCCAATGCCAAAGATTTGCCCACTATCATAAACCCCATAAATACGAAAATTGAGAATGTTAAACAAATTGCTGGTGGTCAGCATCACACACTTATCCTTAAGGAGGATGGCTCAGTTTTCGTCATTGGACGTAAAGATTACGGCCGCTTAGGTTTGGGAACGGTCGCGGATGATGTGACAGAACTAAAGCCCATTACAGCACTTAAGGGTAAGAAAGTAGTAAGTGTATCTTGCGGTGAAGCCCAATCCTTTGCCTTGACCGATGATGGCAAACTATACTCCTGGGGGATGGGTTCTAATCATCAATTGGGCACAGGTTCAGAAGATGACGCACTAGAACCCGTTCTAATTGTTAGCAAACAAACCGAGGGAAAGCGTATAATAAGAGCCTCCAGCGGTGGACAACATAGTATCTTTTTGGTAGAAGATGAAAGTCAACCAGCCTCCGAAGAACCAACCCCAAAGGAGAAATCAGGAAAGAAGGCTCCAGCAGCATCCAAGTCTAAGATGTCCAATAAAGAAGCTGAAAACAAAGACGATGTTCCCGCTGAAGAAGAAACACCAAAAACCAATGGAGAAAAATCTAAGGATGAAGATGACACCAAGTCAAACACGGCTGAGGAATCGCAAAAGGAGGATGCTCAAACAACGTCTGCACCGCCACCAGCAAAAAGAGGACGCAAGAAGAAATAAATGCCAGATGCTAGTTTGTAATTGTATATCCTATATTTTTTCCACTCAATTCTTGTTAACCACAATCTTCATACAGATTGCGAAAAACGTATAGTTTCCTTCAAAGCATGCAAAAACATGTACATGAGACAAATGTGTTAATAATTTTATAAAAAACAATTATATTTTTATATGGACTAAAAATTTTATATATTGTTTCAACCTAAAAAATTTTGCATGAATTATTCAAACCCCTATCCTTATATATTTTGCTTGTGGAACATTTTGTTTGACGATTATTGTTTTCCCTAATTAACATTTTTGTTTTGTACTTACTTTATACTAGATATGTTACCTACCTATTTAACTCTGAAAGCGAAAGCGTTTCTAAAATCCTCCAAAAAATTGAAAGATTAGATCAAAGCAAATAATTTCAGAATAAAGGTTTTGGCTTTTTTCATTATTGTCCCATTCACTATTACTTCATATAAATGTATTTTTATACCTACACCGTTAGTGTACTTTCTAATTTGATGAAATAAAATAAAAACATATATTTGTAATTGTGAATGTTTTGTAATTGTATACCCTTTTCTAAAATATGAAACGGAGCTCGAAAACGTGTTAGACAGGTGCCTTTTCTTTTTTTATTATCAGCTGAAATTATTGTTTGAAAAGAGTAGAGTATTGTAGAAAAGAGTTGGAGAATTTAATTTAAATGATCCGAAAACAATTTTTATATAAAAAACATTTAAAAACCCACTCCGTTATTTACAGACATCTTGCACTTTTATGTAGCCTTAACAACATTTCGTTGTGATATCAATGGAAAAATCAATAATAATAGTAGCATTCTTGTAGGTTCCGAAACAGTTCTAATTCCAAACGCTACAGGCATGATAAAATCAGAACAATACAATTATTTTATTATATCTACATTCCAGCTTAATATCCAATTAAAAGGTAGTGTAAAATACTAACTTTAACATGGGACAATGGGATACTTTTTATATAACCAAATTATGAGATGAAAATTTCCAAACAATATTTGTTTGGCACAAGCACAAATCCTATTAAAATTGGTGATAATCGGATTAAATTTAGTTATAGCTCCCATATATTTTCAATTGATTTCTGGTTAATTGTGCACCAAATGGTCAATATCATTCCAAGATCGGTTGAAATTAGGATATAGTTCCATATATATCTTCAGCCGATTTGGGGTTAATTGTGCACCGAATGGCCAATATCTGACCAAATAACCTAAATTCTTGGCACTTCCGACAGAATTCAGTCTAGAAGCAAGTAAATCAAATATGGTGAAAATCGGCTCAGATATAGCCATAGCCCCCATACATATGTTTCATTCGATTTGGTCTTCGTAATATGCATTCGACGACAATTATATTTGGAACCAGATATCTTATAGACCTAGACGGAAATACCTTTGCCAAGTTTAATCGAAAACGGCTACGATTTGGATATAGCCCCCATATAAATCCTTAATCCTAATATCAGCCCAAATGGAGTGAATTTCGGGACGTACCTTTCCATTTTGTAGAACTCGGCTTCGTAATATATATTTTTTTAAATAATTCTTTTCATAGTGATTAATGCAAAGATATTTGGTATAATAGATTAAAATGCCTCCGTAAAATTTTGATTAGCACATGCCTCCTATATATTAGTTCCCTCTGAAACCAAACTATAACTACTCTAAAGCCAAAATTTGATATGTGGTATGATCTACTTAAAATAAATTCTTTTGTTACGGACTCTATTAAATATGCATAGTGGTGGTATCATATTGTCGGCCCTGCCCGACTTTTGACTTTTGCTTACTGGTTTTGCTATTTTCTTTTTGCCAGCACTGATTTAAGCAGCTCACGTTTCCTGTCTTGTTTCACTGTAAAACATATTCTGTTCGGTATATAACTTAACCATGAATCGTCTTACAAACGAACAAAGCTTTTAAATCTTTTCATTTTATGATCAAAATGAGTGCTCTGTCAAAGGGTAGGAAAATAAGGGGAATTGTCGATTTTGGAGTGAAGATCGGTCTGAATGCATCCAGAAAAATTCACAGTTTGATGTAACTGTGAATAGTGAGCGATACCGTGGGATGGTATCCAATTGTTTTTTTGCCCAAAATACAAGAGCTTGACTTGCTTGGCACACAGCACGCGAAACAGTGAACTTATTGAGAAGCGAGTTCAATGAAAATTTTCCTTCACGATCGGGAAAGGCCAATTGACTACTTAGATCGTGCAATTTTAGACTATTTTTTGTGGGGCTATGTTAAAGCTCATATCTATGCAGGCGAGTCTACTTAAATCGATGTGTTGAAAGGCTGAAATAGTAGAAAGAGTATGGCAAAATTGGAATAAGTGGATGGGACGTTTAAATTTTCATGAAATATTCTTCAAACATTACATTTTGTGGTCTATACTTTTAGTTCAAATAAAAATTTCATGCATTTTTCTCAATATTTTTTCTGAAAAATTTCCTATAACTATTAATAAATACTCCCTTTGCTACTAATCATGAGAATGCGAGTTCAATACCTGATGTCTGTTTGTCGATTTTAATTTGCCAAAAAATAACTAATTATTTCGGTCGATATAGCCTTGTTAAGTTAATGGGTGAGAAGGTTGACCCAAAGTAGTAAAGATTGCCAAAGTTCGATTCATTACGTATTTCTGTTGATTTACCTTTGAAATAAGTGTTTTGTTCCGTAACCCTTGAAATACGACGATAACCAATTTTCCTTTATAAAATCGAGAAAAATAATACAAATTAGTACAGGTTCTGAAACAGACATAAGACAGGAATTTTTGAAACAGGAATTTTTGTTTAAAAAAGAATTTGAAGCTAACTTCCGCTACAGAAAACCCAAATTTGTTATGTTCAGAACTGCAAGAAAGTAATAGTTTTAAATACGATTTTCCCTTTATGATATCGAAGAAAATTGCAAAACTAGTAGATTCTATTTATATTTCAAATTTTCAATTTCTTAATTTGTTTAATTTATATTGTGTTAACTTGTTTATTTTATAGAATTTTTTGTCAATACTTCCTAAAACTACCAAAAATGATAATTTCTTTAACATTGCTGCATACGCTGTGTTCATTTATTTAGGCTTTACTTAAAAGGCTGTCTTCCAAATCGTAATTTGTTCTGTATACGACTAATTGCCGTGTTCCAAAACGCCGCTCATTTCAGAAAATAAAAATTCTTTAATTTGGAGACATTCAAAAGGGATATACGGTTTACTCGTTAGATGTTGTTATAGACTTTAGCATTGGGAGTTTAGGATTGTCACTCTCAGTTGTAAACAGTTGATGTACCTTAGTATACAGAAGTGGTTTGATGCGGTTTATGTTGTTGTTTATTATAAACATTAAAAATTTTCAACTACATGAAATTTGTATAAATTGTAATTGGCTTTGTATTTTTCTATACACACATATATAATTTAAATGGTATTTACACAGATGGATAGGTACATAACGATAACGGTTGAATGAAAAACTTGGTCTTCAATTTCCTAATTATAATGATCATCTCAGCGGGTTAATAAATATAACTAAATTATAAGTTGAATTTTTAACGCTTTCAAAACAGACAATTTAAAATAAGTAATTTGTCTTTTTTTGTTTTGTTTTTATGATTAGTTAAATTGAAATATAAATTTTAAAAGAATAATAACCATTTAACACGATTAAGTTTGCACTTCCTTCCTTTTGGTTTTAATTCCAATCGTATGTTGTTAAAGTATACTCTGCTTCGGTAACTTGCAACAGAGCGTTTGTTGTGACAATGGATGGATTTTCGCGCGATGTTGAACATATATAAAATGTTATAAAAACAATAGCAAAGAGCATTGTTAGTGTTAATATGCACCGTGCAAATTTACGTGCGAATGCGACGAGACCAAGCAAATAGCCGCCCCCTAAAACACCGCCATCTTTATGAGAACATTCGTCATTTAAGTTATATGGATCCATTAGTGTATCATCTCCAAATGCATCGGTGGCCACATAACCCTCGGGACATCTGCAGTGTTTTATGAGTGTGTGAATTTTAGCCGTTTTAAAGTGGCGACATTTGGTGGTGGCAGCTGCAGCGGCATTGAGGAGGCGTTGCTTGGTCAAATTGCATTTCGAAAGTAAATATTATAGATCCGCCTTGCCTTTGGCACAGGTTGCGAAATCTACAGATTCAGCCGCACTATCTCTATTCGTCGAGCAGCCATCAACGTCACACATTTGCAATTTGAGTAAATAAATCACTGCGCCTAGTAATATGAAGAGGAAGACTAGGGTGATGATTTGCAAAATTTGAGTATTACGCAATTGCTTTTCCAATTTTCGGGTTTCTTCAGAACTCTGAAAATATACAATGTAATAAAAGTATTTTAGATTAAAAAATAAAACAGTTTTTTTTTGATTAAATATTCCAATTGGTTTTTGTTGTAAAAACATATTTTTTCCGTCAAAATTTCTGTTAAAATCTTAAAAATATCGAATATAGCCGTTATATTGGGGTCTATACGAAGAAAGAAGGAAATCATTTTGTGGATATTCAGACAATTTCATTGAGAATATCGGGGGGTACCGTTGTAAGGGGGCTATACGATGTCGTAGACTTATATAGACAATTCTCTCCCAGGGCGTAAAGTACTCAAAAGGAACTTCTTGTGCTTATTTTCAGACAATTCCATTGAAAAATGTGGCAAAAATCATCAAAATACCGAACATCAGGGGGTACCGTTATATGGGGGCTATATGATATCGTACCTGCCTGCAGACAAAAAACTGATCTGTGTAAAATTTTAACCTACTATCTTTATTCGTTTAGACTCTAGCGTGATTACAACAGACGGACGGACGAACAGAGCTTTTATGCTGATCAATAATATACATAGTTACAAACGGAATGACGAACTCAATATACCCTCCATACCATGTATGGTGGAGGTTATAAAAATAGAATGCATTGGTACCGCTTTTGTTTTGCCAGTGTAAGTATCATATTTCAACAGACCTAACGACTTCTGTGTATGTTTATTTTAAATATTTTATAGACTTTGACTTAAGCCCAAATTAAAAATGGGATTTATGTTTGGGATTTATATTTCTGTCCAATCTTCATTTGTTTTTTTCTACCGCCCACATACATAGTATGGAGGATACATTAAGTTTGTCATTCCCTTTGTAACTTATCGTAATAATTGTTTAAGACCCAACAAAGTATACCCTTTCTTGATCAGCGTTAAATTCTACGTCGATATAGCAATGTCCGTTTATTGTAATCACACTTGAGCCCAACGGCATATGATAGGAAGCTAACATTTTGCATAGAGTTATCTTTTGTCTGCAGTGAGGTCAAGATCGAAGATTAGCTATATTGGTCAACGTTTTCTCATAGCTCACAAATAGTTGTACCTCCCCATATTCGGTTTTTTGACAATTTTGGCCACATTTTCTAACGGAATAATTTAAATTTTTAAGTACCTCTCGATATACGATATTTTGACTATTTTAGACACCCTTTTTACGGTTTTTAAGTTCATAATATGTTCCACATGCCATATAAAGGTACTTCCCGATATTCCGTATTTTGACGTTTTATTCGATTTGGATTCTTCTGCTTTTATTGAACAATTTCAATATAAGTCTAAGTATTTCTATAGCCCCTATCCGCCCGATGTTCGGTATTTTTTTTTACAGAAATGTTTGAAATTTGAATAGGACGTTCCTAATAACAGATGTGACGCATACCCCTCGAATACTTGAATTTCGGCATATACAGACATATATTTACATGAGTTACCTTTTAAAGTGTGGAGGGTATGAAAAGTTTGGTCCGGCCGAATTTAACTGATTCTTTACTTGTTTTATTTATCTTTGTTAGCCAATATACATTGTCGTAACAACACAACCAACCCAACCAGTCATTGTTACATTAGGTTACAATTCTCTCTTGATAATTATTTCGCATATTTTTGGACAACTACTATTTAATTTATACTTACTATTTCCCTCGATTGCTGCTTATTTTCTTTATTTGCACTCCCAACGCCATTAGCAACTAGTTGCGACGATTTTTCTGCGCCTTCTTTGTAGGTGCAATATAAACGATGTTGTTCCATATTGACAGATTGCTGACCAGCTTTTTTCCAAAATTCTGTAACCTGATTCGATTGAATGTCCATTGATGGCATACACATAATTAAAAATTTATCTTTGCCGTTCTCTGACAATGAATGTTCAGGTTTCAACAGAATGTTGACGGTAATTGTGCTGCCAGGATATAAAATACCACATCTTGGGCGAACACGGAATTTTTCCGGCGAAGTTGTTTGTATCTGTGACAAATTTTAAAGGGTAATTTGAAATGTTTTATAGGCAATTTTTCAGTTTGACTTACTTTATATGTGACGGGATTTGAACTAATACATGCTAATTCCAATGTACAATCTTTGGCATCACCGTGAGTAAATTGCAAATAATCTGCTGGTGTTACACGTAACATGTCTTCGTTTGCTATTTGACAAATAAAGAGTGAAATAAATTTAATTTAAAAACAAAAATTCGAATGGTAATAATAGGTTTTTACTTTTGTTGTAAAAAACTTACAGAATTGCCCTACTTTTGTTGTAAAAAACTTACAGAATTGCCCTACTAACAATATCGTAACAATTAATGTATCATAAAGTCCCACTTATTACTTCTGTTATATATATTACTTTTTTAGGCAACGTTTATATTTATATCTATGCAAATATAACCTATGTTATGGCTGGAAGTTTCGTATTCGGGTCCCCAGAACATGTGGTTTGTGATTTGTAAATGCTCTGTACCAGAACTTGCAAGAATTAATAGATTTGCAATTCGTATCGTTACCATAAAGAAAAAATTGGCTAAAGCAGATGGGTAACTGCATTATGTCTTGCGGTTGTGTTTTAGAATATTTTTTGGATTTGGACTGTTTTAATCGCCGGAACAAGAAACATGTAGGAATTTATATCAAACATAAATATTTATTATATAGGACCTGGGACAGGATTCGTGTTAAAAGAAAATATGTAATGTTTGTTTATGTATGCAAAAGTATCAAATTCCGCTATGTCATGTATTTGCTGCCGTATGCCTGCGAAATATGCAACGTTTTGCAAACGATACATTGTCTAGGATATTATATTTGTGTGTAATTCATGGACATGCTACATTGCCCTGACACGTTTTGGAAAGCCGCCATATTAAAGAAAAGTGGGAAATACGTCTTCCTGATATTGATTAATTCATAACGTGACATTCGTAATCTGTAATTAATTAAGATGGTGGGATACGAAATAAAAGCACCAGACTTTTTAGAAATTAAAGACGAAAAAACGCATAGTATACTTTCAAATTATTCACTGTCTCAAATATCCAAATGTCAATCGAACTTATTCTATTCTGAACTCTTACAAATTTAAATACTTACGGTCTTGAGGTGTAAATTGGTCTGGTATATCAGGCATTTGTGTTGGCATTTCCGCAAAATGCGTATGATTGGGAAGGTTATTATTAAAATGTACCTGGAATTAAAACCAAATAAAAAAATTAGTCCTTACTCAGCAAACGAATCAATGCGACTGAATATGAATATTGATATATTTTGCTACTGCTTAGCTTTATCCTCTTTGGCGAAAAAATCTTGAGTTCCTCTTAAGTTGCTCTCAATGATTTCAATATGTAGTACAAGGATAGGAATGTTTCAAACGGCAAAGCTGGTGCAAACACAGCATTCAAAGGATGAAAGTGTTTGTTGAAATAAGCATATTGTTGTTGCCACTATAAGGGGCATGACGAAGAAATCGATCAATGCGATTATGGCCTAATGTATTGAGCTATACAACCATCATGTGTTACGGACGATTCATATAAATTGACCGGTAGGGAGGTAAGCCACACAAGAAATCAAAACGTATTCGGGTCCCATATGCGGGCCACAGTATCGCCGCATGCATATATATCACATGTATGAATGTATGTATGATTACTTACTTGCATGCATATATGTATGTGCCTTTATTACAAATTTATAACCAAATATTTTGTAACACTGGCAACATACCCTGTAGAATTGACGACTGAAAATGATTGCTCTTAAGTTGGTATGGTCCTCTTATAGGTATTCTCTACACATATTTCAGGATGTCTCCTAACGTTATTTCATTCATTTAGTTCCTGTAGTTGAATTGTCGTGCAGTTATTCAAATTGTCGCTTTGTTGTAATTAGGTGTGTCTGGTTACCCTAAAATTTGTAACAATTGTTACAAATTGTTACTGGAAGTCGTCTGTTAACCCAAAAGTTCTGCAAAAGAGAGCGGTTGGAGAGAGAAATTTTGACAGTTCTTTCAGTGAGAGTTTGCAAATTCTTGCTGGAAAAATTTCTTCTTGCAATTGCTTGCAACTCTTCTTCTTCTCATTTATTGACATTCAATCAGATGTTTTCTATTGTTTGTTTATTTATTTTTGTGCTTTCAATTTGAAAATATTTTTTTGGAATTAGCAAGACTAATAGTTTTTGGAGAAAAACTTTACAAAATGTGAAAAACGTAAATGTTAATATGTAATAAGAAAATAAAAGACTATTTCCAACATTTTTATTTAAAAAAACTTGTAAAATTAGTATTGCTTCCTTTGTTTTAATTCTCCTTATGGGGGACAAATTGGTTTGTTTTGATTTGATCAGCTGATTAGTTGCAAGCTTCTGCAGGAATACCGTCTGTTTACTTTTAGCATTTTCCTTGCAAAAGAGAATAAAACTACCTTACTCTCTCAGAAAGAAGTTACTGGACAAATCCTGCAGGAAAAGTAACCAGACACACCTATTAAAACATTTTAACTTTAGCTGCTTAAATACCAAAAATCTACTCTAGAACAGTGTTACCGTCGTGCATTTTTAAAAAGTGGCCCAAAAAGTCGTTTCCGAAAAAAAAGTCGCACATAAAGGACACTTTACCATTAAAAGGTGGCACACCTTAAGTTTCATTTTTTTAAGTAAACAAAGAACAATTCTAGGGTAAAGTTGTTCAATTACCTTATAATAATTTTTGTTTTCACTTTTTTGAAACTTCGTTTCTCTATTTTTGTACAAGTCCAGTTAATTTAAAGCTGATAACATTTTTGACATCAGCTCGAATAAAAGTCATTTAGTATACGATTCATAAGGTTTACAGAGTATGCCGCAGCCAGGAACAGCTGCGGACAGCAAAGTGGTCCAAATTTGTACAACGGCAACCCTGCTCTAGAATAGAAAATATCGACTTTCGACAAATCGACAGTTTGCATAAGAAAACATCGACTTCTATCGAATTAACAAATTTGACACAAGAAACACTACAAGGTAGCCGCATCGTCAAATTATTAATACAATTCTGGTAATATAACAGGAATGTTTGTTTATTTGATGATTTGTACAAATTGTTACTGAATGCGGTTTGTGTACTCAAACATCTTGTAAGTCAGAGTGTCATGAGAAAAAGTTTTGACAGTTGTGTCACTGAAAGCTTCTTACTAGGAATTGCTTTCTGGTACTGATTTTTCTCCGTGAGAGTTTTTCTTACTTTTCAAGACCCATTAAACAAGTCGTGCAAGCAAAATGAAAAAGTACAATTGTGATTGTAGTCTCATCATATGTTAAAACTTTTGTTTATGTTTTCATAGGTTTATGGTCTGTTGTTTCCGCAAAGGCGATCTTTGCATTTTGTATTCGAACAATAACAAATGTATTTGCTCACGATAATACCATGGTAAAATTATAAAATATAAAGTCATTTCAAATGAGCATATCCATCTCTGAATTTTCTGTAATTTTCTTAGTCAAATTTCTTTGGCTAGAAAACAGGTTCCCATCTCTGATTTGTGAATAATCAGAATTCTTGTTATAACCCACTTGTATATGGTTTTATACCCTCATGTGGTGTGGAGGGTATATTAAGTTCGTCATTACGTTTGTAACTCATCGAAATAAAATTTTTAGAACTAACAAAGAATATATATTCTTGATTAGCGTAAAATTCTTACACGATTTAGCCCCGTCCGTCTGTTGTAATCACGCTAGCGTCAAAACAAATAAAGATGGGAAGCTAACATTTTGCACCGATCTGTCTTTTGTCTGCAGGCAGGTCAAGTTCGAACATGGGCAATATCAGTTTACGATATCGTTTATCCCCCTATACAGGGTGAGATGAAAAAACTGGAACCAACTTCAGACAGCTGTCATTTCCAAGCCACTCGCCCGACAGCTGTTACAAGTGTACAAAAGCATATTGATGAAAAGTTATTCGTGATTGAATTCAAGCGTGATAGTGTGATTTGTTTATACTTGGCTGGAAAACCTAATGTGGCTATCGTTAGAGCACTCCAGCATTTAAATGTTAATAAATCTAAATCTGGTAGCGTAGCCCGACGTCAAGGAAGTGAACGGAAGAAAACAGCAACATCAGCAGAAATGGTTCGAAAAGTAAAGAAGCGACTTGATCGAAACCCGAACATATCGCAATATTCCATTCGGCAAATATTAAAAAATGTGCTCGGGGTAAAGCCATTGAATTCCAAAAAGTGCAAGAACTTACACCACAACAGAAAGAAAATATACTAAAAAGAGCTAAAGAGTTTCCTCGCTTGGCGAAAGTGGTGAACATTCGTTGTCCAGCAATTTGTAAATAAACAAATGATAGTGTTTACTTGCCAAAGAGGTCAGCTGAAAATGTGCACCTTCGGTTGACCACCAGAACTGAAGCGTCGGCCGATGGTCGCCCTCCGTTCGTATTAATCGACCGTGGTATCATCATTTGGCCGCAGACCTTGGACATTCCAACAGGACTAAGCACCATCGCACTTAGCACGATGAAATCGTAATTTAAAAAATATGTAAAAGTTATGTATGTACTTCCCGACATTCGGTATTTTTGTGATTTTAGTCACATTTTTCAATGGCATTATCTGAAATTCTACACAAGGAGTTCCTTCTGAGTACCTAACCCCCTGAAAGAGGATTGTCTATATCGGTCCACGATATCGTATATGTACTTCCCGACATTCGGTATTTTGATGATTTTAGTCACATTTTCAATGGCATTATCTGAAATTCTAAACAAAGCGTTCTCTGTGAGTACTTTGCCCTCTGAAAGAGAATTTTCTATATAGGTCCACGATATCGTATAGCCCTCATACAATGGTGAACCCGATATTCGGTATTTTGATGATTTTAGCCACATTTTCAATGAAATAGTCTGGAAATCCACAAAAGGAGTTCTTTCTGAGTACTTTACCCTCTGGAAGATAATTGTCTATATAGGTCTACATTTTGTATGGTAACCCGAGATATTGGATTTTTTCAGCATTTTCGCTACATTATTCACCGGAATAGGTGTTGGAATGGGTACTAAAACCTAGGACAGAAAATTCTCTATGCAGGTCCACGTCTTAGTATAGCCCATGGTAGAAGAATATAGGTAGATGCATCAACGCTTGGGAACATTGAAATGTCAAAAATTTTAAATTTTTTTTATGAAAAAATAAGTGGATTTTTAAATTTTTTTATGCGACGAAAATCTGAGGTTATTATATAATGCATTTTTCAACAATTTTTACAAATTTTAATAATTTTTCATTCAACATATTCAATTCCAAAATCGGTTTGACAGTTCATTGTCCCAGCAGCTGTGTCGATGCGACTACCTGTATTCTTCTACCATGGTATAGCCCCTATACAACGGTACCTCCCTTTATTCGGTATTTTGATGATATTAGCGACATTATTCACCGATTTTTTTTATTTCGTATTTGAAGTTCGGAATCGTTACTACTGCCTATGACAAAAAATTACTTATGCAGCACCATGTCTCCGTATAGCCAGCGTAAAAAGGTCATCAATTAAACGGTAATTTTCGGATTTTTTTTTACATTTTTCAGTTTCTTTTCAAATGGTGGAGGGAATTAAAAGTTCCGCCCGGCCGAACTTAGCTTCTTTTTTACTTTTTCAGTTACAACAGTGGCAAAAGTTCTGGATTATCAAATCTGATCATAAAGTAGTGCTGTTATGTTATCTTTTTGATTCTGTAAGAATCTTAGGTAGCAAGATCGAAATTGTGTTCAGCGGGTGCGAACTGAATTTCAATTATCTAGGAAATTCAGAGGAAAGGTTGGGAGAAATTAGAATTGATCATGGGTTTTAATTTAATAATTCGAAATATTAATTTGTTAATATTAAAATAATTGGTTAAAATCGACACGTAAATTATCTATTTTACGAGGATTCGTAATGTTTTTGAAGTGTAGCCTTGAAACTGACACCAATAATATTTATAATAACAAATCACTGTTATAAGTTATTACAAACGAGGTCCGTTAAATATGTTATGCTTTTTAGGTAATTAAAACTAATATGTATTTTGAATAAGTATTTTCCCATCAAAAGATTTAGTGCTTATATTTTGGAACGAAGTAAAAGTAGCGTAACTATAATGAAATCTCCCTAAAACTCATCGTAACAATATGGTTAAAAGTGAAAGTTCATTTATGGTTT